TGTTATTTCTTTTAGACAGCATTGTTGTGTGCTCCGTTGGTGTTATTTTCCGCAACTATGGGCAGCCCTAGCTTGGTGTTGATCAAAGGCTAAAAAAAATGTGAATGGTTGGCGGTACCCTCTGAAATTAAATTCGAGAACTTCAAGGCGGGCGGAAAAGGGGGTTCCGTTTTCTGAAAGCGGAAAGCCATAATCTTATTTTATGCCAAAGTCGGCGATTTAAAGGTGTGGTCTGTCTCTGCAGCCTGGCAGAAATGGTCAAATGAACTTGTTTGCTTTAGAGGAAAATCAGCCATTACATTTACTAGTGCCTGGGAAACCCGCCCCCCCCCTTTTTTTTTTGCTGGAAAAGAATAAATGAATTTGTGATTTATAGTTTTGATTATTAGAAAGGGAAGCTTACCAAAAACGATAAAATATAAATTCATGTATAATTACTGTCAAAAAGATTGGAAATCCTTCTTTCCTCCCTTCCTTCCCTCTCGCCCTTTCCTTTTCCTACTTTCCTTCCTCCCTTTCTTCCTTATCAGTATCCTCTCCCTCCCTCCCTCCCTTCCTTCCTTCCTTCCTTCCTTCCTTCTTACTTATTTACTTATCAGTATCCTTCTTTCCTCCCTTCCACACTTCCTTACAGTATCCTTCCTCCCTGTGTCCCTTCCTCCTCCTTCCTTCCCTCTCTCCTTCCTTCCTCCCTCCCTTATCAGTATCCTTCCTTCCTTCTTCCTTCCTTATTATTTACTTATCAGTATCCTTCTTTCCTCCCTCCTGTCCTTCCTTCCCTCCCTCTCCTTCCTTCCTCCCTCCCCTCCCTTATCAGTATCTTTCCTTCCTCCCTCCCTTCCTCATCAGTATCCTTCCCTTCCTCCTTCTGTCCTTCCCTCCCTTATCAGTATCCTTCCTTCCTTATTTATTTATCAGTATCCTTCTTTCCTCCCTTCCACACTTCCTTACAGTATCCTTCCTCCCTGCGTCCCTTCCTCCTTCTGTCCTTCCTTCCCTCTCTCCTTCCTTCTTCCCTCCCTCCCTTATCAGTATCCTTCCTTCCTTCCTTCCTTCCTTCCTTCCTTCCTTCCTTCCTTCCTTATTATTTACTTATCAGTATCCTTTCCTCCTTTCCTTCCTCCCTCCTGTCCTTCCTTCCCTCCCTCTCCTTCCTTCCTTCCTCCCTCCCCTCCCTTCCTTATCAGTATCTTTCCTTCCTCCTTCTGTCCTTCCTTCCCTCATTCTCTCCATTCCTTATCAGTATCCTTCCTCCTTCTGTCCTTCCTTATCAGTATCCTCTTCCTTCCTTCCTTATCAGTATCATCCCTCCCTCTTTCCCTTCCTTCCTTATCAGTATCATCCCTCCCTTTCCCTTCCTTCCTTATCAGTATCCTCCCTCCCTCCCTCCCTCCCTCCCTCCCTCCCTTCTTTTCATCTCTGCCATCCTCCTCCCTTCCTTCCTATTTCCACTTTCCTTCTCACTTATTCACTATTATTTTTCTTCGTTATTTTTGTACTACTTTCATTTTTTTTTAAAAAAAAAATCTTCAGTAAGAGAGGCAGAAGGAGAGAGAAATAACATTGTTCACTTGCAGAATTCACCGCCACAGGGTCACTAAGACGTTTTGAGAGAGGACTGATTAAATGCACGGAGGACAGTATCAAACTCAAGATGTTGTGTCATGGCCTTCCCATTGTGGGTAGCCTGCAAACTCCCAATAGCACTTTAGGGGCGCCATCAAAACCTCAACATCTTCTAATTACGATCCTAGATCCGAAAATTGTAAATTTTAAAATATAAATTACGGGAGGGGGGAACAAAATTATGTGAGGGTGTCAATCTTCGCTGCAATAGGTAGCAACTCTCCTTGTTGTAAATTCTCAATTCCATTGGGGATTGCTGGAGGATTACTTTTGGAGATCTATGCCGTAATGGCAATAAAGAAGGACATTGTCGATTGTTTCTGTGTGTCTCCGGAATCACAAGGACACAATATGTCACATCTGGGTGTTTAATTGTGTCTGCCACAGGGAAGAGCAGAAGGTAATCCATTATGCAAAGCTCTGAAAAATTCTGATTAGTTTGCAGGTTTCCAGGTGTTCACGATGACGAGCATTCTGGAGGCCTGTGTGAAACAGCTAATTTTGGTTGATAATTCTACATTCTCCAGCCTTTTAGCGGTACAACACAAGGAGTGTTGATAAGGTACTGGTAGATCAAGAAAGAAGAGGGAGGATATTAAAATGATTACATATTTTGTCCAATATCTCAGATTGGGAAGTGGTAATCATTTTAATGGAAGAGAGAGAACATGGAGCTGATACCCATGAATGCACCTGTGTCTATCTTGCCTAGGGTCTTTCATGGGTGTTTTTTTAATTTTTAAACCTACATATTTATTTATTTTAAAGAAGTAAAAGATAAAGGAATCCCTGCAAATTTTTATTCTGCTGGTCGTTGCTGATTATATTTATTTGACATGACTCGAATGGAATGGAATGGAATAGAATAGAATAGAATAAATGAAGAATAGAGTAGAATAGAATAGAATATAGATGAAAAATAAGAATAGAGTGGAATGGAATAGAACAGAATAGAATAGAATAGAATAGAATAGAATAGAGATGAAAAATAAGAATAAAGTGGAATGGAACAGAATAGAAAAAATGAAGAATAGAGTATAATAGAATAGAATAGAATATAGATGAAAAATAAGAATAGAGTGGAATGGATAGAATAGAATAGAATAAACTTTATTGTCACTTTAAATGTACATTAATCAGCATACATTAAAATGAAATTTCATTGGATTCAGCTCTCAATGGGTAGCCACCTCCAATATACACTACATAAACATGACAAAGGATTGTGCATATACCCACGTACACGCACATCCTAGATGACACAAACAACACAGTCTAGTTTGGATGTATACAGTACGTGTGCATGGTGAGAAAAAAGAATTCCTCCAAATATACAAGACAGATGGCATAACGAACAAAGTAGGGATTCAGACTAGGTTTTCCAAACAAACTCTGTTCTTTATTATTTCAAATAGTGTTTTAAAAAATAAGCAAAATGATACCATCATATATTTTTCGGGGGGGGGGGAAGAAATTCCCTTTTTCACAGTAGTTCTACATTTACACAGATCGGAAAGGGCTTAAAAACACTCCCTTCCAGCACTGATGTTGTTACCTAGTTTGGGTTAAAAATTGTGGCAGTCATAATGAAGGTCAGTACTGACGGGGCCAGCCACTAGCCCAGTGGTTCTCCACCTGTGGGTCGGGACCCCATTTGGGGTGGAACGACCATTTCACGGGGGTCGCCAAACAACGCAGTCCGCCATTTTCTTTCCCCCCTTTTCCTTAGCTGTGCTACTCCCTTTTATTCTCTTGGCTTTTGAAAGCCAATAGAAGAGACTCTCTTGAATAGAGTCTAATTCTATTGGCTTTCAAAAGCCAATAGGAATTGTCCAGGCTGTCTCTGCCCTGCTGAGCCCGCCAAATGTCCCATTCTGCAAACAGTGCTGCACCCGTTGAGTAGTCCTCGACTTACGACCGGTTGAGTAGTCCTCGACTTAGGACTGGTTGGGGGTCACGGCATTAAAAAGGTTGAGAACCACTGCCCTAGAATATAAAAGGAGAGCAAACCTCACTCCTTACCAGCACTGATGATGTCACCTGGTTGGGTCATGAAACGTCTGCAAGAAAACCGCCCAGCTCAGAGAGCACCCAGGACCCTGCACTCCTCCTCCTCCTCCTCCCTGCAAGCCCTACTTCCTTGTAGCACTGATGATGCTATCTAGTTGGGTCAGGAAACGTCCACAAAGAAACCACCCAGCTCAGAGAGCACCAAGGACCCCCCCCCCCAGTTCAACCCCGAGCCACACGTTTTCTCCAAGGAGGACACAATCTGGAGAACATCAAATGCCCGGATCCAGTTGGCTTCTTCTTTACTGCGAGGACTGTTTTTGAACAGGCCAGCTTGGAAAGGAGACATTCCAGCCCTTTGCTTGTCTTTCTTTTGCACATAGGGAGACCCGGGCCCGTCCGCTGCTCGGGGGGGGGGGTGTCTCCCCTCCCGGGATTTTGGCCTGCGGACCCCCCCCCCCCACAACCTCTCCCAGACAGCCCAGAAGCGCAACGGGGCCGGCCGGGTCACCCAGCCTGCTCGCGTCCCTCCCGGCCAGCCTCGGCCATTTCCGCCAGCGGAGCCGAAGCCCTTCGGGCGGCCTCGCGCCCTCCTCCTCTTTTCCTTCTCTCTCTGCGGCTGGGCTGCGCCGGGGGGAGGGGGGGTAAATTCGGCCATTTCCGCCACACGAGCCGAAGCCTTTCGCCCGCCCCTCCCTCCCTCCCTCGCTGTCTGCGGCCGGGCTGCCCCCCCGGCCCCTCCCTCGGTTAACCTCGGCCATTTCCGTCAGCGGAGCCGAAGCCCTTCGGCAAGCCCCCTCCCTCTTTCCTCCTCCCGACTGACCCCTCCGCCCGTTCTCCGGCTATTTCCGCCACACGAGCCGAAGCCTCTCGACCGTCCCCCCCCCCTCCCTGGAGACAGGCCCTCGATGCCTGCGGCGGGGCTGCGCCCGGACCCCTCCTCCCGTTCTCTCGCCAGCTTCGGCCATTTCCGCCACACGAGCCGAAGCCCTTCGGCTACCCTCCTCCCTCCCTCCTCCCGACGGGCCCTTCCTCTCTGCGGCGGGGCTGCGCTCGGAGATCACCCCTCCCTCCCTCCCTCCCTCGGCTAGTTCGGCCCTTTCCGCCAGCGGAGACGAAGCCTTTCGTCCTCGTTCCCCCTCCCCCCCGACGGGCCCTTCCTCTCTGCGGCGGGGCTGCGCTCGGAGATCTCCCCTCCCTCCCTCCCTCCCTCCCTGGGCTAGTTCGGCTCTTTCCGCCAGCGGAGCCGAAGCCCTTCGTCCTGGTCCTCCCTCCTCTTCCTGCCGACGGGCCCGTTCTGTCTGCGGCGGGGCCGCGCCTGCGCCCTCTTCCGCCCGCCTCCCCCTCCCCTCGCCCACCCAACCCGCGGAGGCGGGGCGCGCGGCGTCTCCTCAGCCCGGCGGTCGGTGCGAGGCAGCCAGGCGGGCAGGCAGCTCCGGCCTTGCCGAGGCGGCTTCGACGGGGCGGCGGCGGCAGCAGGAGGAGGAGCGCGAGGCAGGCGAGCGGGCGGGGGTCCTGCCGCGCCAGCCCCACCGAGGCTGAGCTGAGGCGGCGGCGGCGGCTCTGGATGGGGCCGCGGCCGTCGGGGGCTGCCGCGCGTCCGCGTCGCCAGGGGCGGCTCCCGCGCGCGAGCCTTCCTCCTCCTCCTCCTCGTGGGGGCTCTTCCCGCGGCTGAGCGGCGCATGGGCGGCGGCCGCGCCTGAGGCGGGCGTCGGGGCGTCGGGCCTTCCTCCCGCCGGCCTCAATGCAGCAGCAGCAGCAGCAGCAGCCTGACTCAGCGGCGGCGGCGGCGGCGGCGCGGGAGAGGAAGAAGATGGCGCAGCCCGCGATGCTGCCTCGCCGCGCCGGCAGCGGCGCCGGCTTGGAGGACTTCCCGGCCGCCCTGCTGGGCCAGTCGCCGCCGCCTTCCCCGGCGGCCGCCGCCGCCGCTTCCTCCTCGGCGGCGGTTCCCTGCCCGGCCGGGCCGCCGCCGCCTCCCGCCAGCCTGTCGCTGCTCCCGCAGCCCCCCCCGTCTGGGCCGAGCGGGGGCCCGGCGGGCGCCCAGTTGAAGAAGAAGAGCGGCTTCCAGATCACCAGCGTGACCCCGGCGCAGATCTCGGCCAGCCTCAGCTCCAACAACAGCATCGCCGAGGACACGGAGAGTTACGACGACCTGGACGAGTCGCACACCGAGGACTTCTCCTCCTCCGAGATCCTGGACGTCTCGCTCTCCCGGGCCACCGACCTGGGCGAGCCCCAGCGCAGCTCCTCCGAGGAGACCCTCAACAACTTCCACGAGGCCGACAGCCCCGGCGCCGTCTCCCCCAACCAGCCTCGCCCGGGGCCACCGCCGCAGCAGCAGCAGCCCCGAGGCCTGGCCAACGGCGGCGGGGCCCACCCTCTCCAAGGACCCCACTACGCCCATGGGCACCCCCAGGCCTCCGGGGGGCCCCCGTCGGGGGTTTCGGGGGGCTCTCCGTCCAGCCCGTCCTTCCGGAGGCTGCCCGTCGCGGGAAGCGTGGAGAGCGCCAGGCCTGGGCCTGCCGTGGGTAGCCTGGCCGGGCCCACCGTGGCCCCCTTTCCCCAGACGGGGGCTGGTGCTTCCGCGGGGGGAGCCGGCCCAGCGCGGCAGGTGAGCAAAACCCTCCGCAACCTTGCCCCTACCGGCAACGGCATGGTCTTGCCCGGAGGGAGCCACCCTGGTAACGTGGCGCTCTCCGGCGGGGTTGGCAACGGCACCGGGCCCTCCTCAAACGCTGCCGGGAGCACCGGTCCTACGGCGGCGGGGCCCACAGCCGTGGGTCATCAGCAGCCCGCCGGCAGCACGTCCCGCTTCCGCGTGGTGAAGTTAGATTCGAGTCTGGAGCCGTTTAAGAAAGGCCGATGGACATGTACGGAGTTCTACGACAAGGAGAATCCCGGGCCGGTGGCTGAATGCCCCGCCGCGGCTAAAACGGTGGACGCGCTCCTAGACGTGGCCTCCGAAAGGGAAAGCACCAGCGGGAGCTCCGTCAGCAGCACCCTGAGCCACTACACCGAGAGCGTGGGCAGTGGAGAGATGGGGGCGCCTTCTGGGACGCAGCAACTAGGGTTCCCCGGCGGGCCTCAGCAGATGGAGTTCGGCAGCGCCGGGGTGCCCCCGGGGCCAACGCCGGGGCTCCCCCAGAGCATGTCTCAGTGCCAGCTTTCCCAGGTCCAGCCGCATCCTCAAGAGGTCAGCTACCCTCCGCAGAAGCAAGGGGTTCCCCCTCCAGCCTCGGCCGTTCCTCCTCCACTGACCGTCCTTGGTGGCCACCAACCAACTCTGGCCTCTCAACAGCTGCCGTTCAGCCCATCGCCGGCTCAGCCGGCCCCAGTCGCTCCACAACCCCAACCGCTACCTTTTGGGCAAGGACAGGCCCAGCATCCCACCACCCTCCCACCCCTGTCTATGCAGATGGCTCCGGGGCACGTGAAGCCCGTGACCCAAACTCCGGTGCCCGAGTACATCCAGGCGCCGCAGATGCTTCCTGCTTCGGCTTCTTCTCTGCAGCCTGGGACGGCGATGGTCGGAAGCGGCTCGGCCGTGCCCATCACTCAGCCTCCCAATATGCCGCTTCCGGTCCAGGCGCACATCCCGGGGGTACCTCCTCAGCCAGCGGCGCAGGCCCAGCCCACCATCCCTGCCGTGGGCGCTCCTGCTCCCCTGATGAACGTTGGACCACCCGGAAGTGTCGCTCCCGTGGCCCAGCGGCCACCGGTTGCAAATCAGATGGCTTCTTCGGTGATGGCCCCCGGCGCTGGTGGTCCTGCGCCCTCCCAAGCAACTGCCCCGGTTCCTGCAGGGGTTGTTCACTCGGGGTCCCAAGCTGCTCCATCAGGCCTTCCACAGTCTTTGGGCATCCCACCGCCCAGTAACCTGATACCCATGAAAGCAGCCGATCCTCTGGTTCCAGGAATGGCCCAGCTGCCTGCTGTCAGTCCAGTCCCTCCTGTGCCCGGCCACTCGGCTGCGAGCGTGCCTCTGGCTCCTTCCAAGACCCTCGCCCAGCAAAATGGGAACCTGGTCCAAAATGTCTCTCAGCCTGCCTTGATTTCCACGAGCATCCATTTGTCCGGAGCCCCCAACCCTTCCCAGTTCTCCGCGCAGTCCTTCGCGCAGTCCATGGCCAGCCGAACTGACGAGGCCAGGCGCTCCGTGGAATCCACCCTGGTTGGCTTAACTCAACCTTCTGAAAGCATCCTTGGCGCCACCTCGGCTTTGGCAGACGGGAGCATGGTCTCTCTCTTCCCCTTGAAGGTTCTTCCGCTGGCCTCCCTGGATGGTGAGGAAGACAGGTAAGATCCTTTCAAAGGGAGAGGTGGGTAAGATGGACTCAGGTGACCGGCTCAGACCAGCTTTCTAATGAAGGTCTTGGAAGCTTACAAGAATGAAGCTGGGCCGTAGTAGACCGATGCCTGTCCGCCAAGGTGTTTGATGGCCCTTTTGTGGGGCTTCCAAAAGTGGACGGTGTCCTGGGAGGGGGGCAGTCAACTGTAAGGAAGATCTGCAAACACTAAATTCAGGGGTGAGGTAGTCTTTTCTTTCTGCTGTTGAGAGCAAATTGGTCCAAATTAATTCCATATTTAGGATCCGGCTAAAGAATCACCAGGAACCTTCACTCTGTAGGCGTTTGGGCTCTTCTGATTAGAGGTGGAAGGCGGAATGGGAACGGATCGGAGAGGACTGAAACTTGAGCCACCCTTAATTCAGAATTTTCTCCCTTCCCCCACCAACTCTGTTAAGGCATTATTATTAGGCCAATCCTATATCCGTGTATTTCCAGGATCTTGAGATTGTTTTGCAGGGCAAAATTCTGCAGAAATGTAGAACAGAGAGCGGCTGAATTTAAGAAGGCGGCCTACACAGTCAGCATCCCTGAAGGATGAGAGAGGAGATTTGAGACATTAAGTTGAAGTTGTGTGTCGATTTAAGGTCCCACCCCAAAGAAATCAAGGCAGAAACATGGGAATCGGAGGTTATTTTTATCCTTAGGTAAAATACAGTCCTAGGGGATTTGGGGGCCAGCAAGAAGTTGAGGAGAATTAATGGGTGGGCTTGTTCTTTGCGACCTTTGAATTGATTTTAGGCAGACAACTTCCAGTGCTGTTAGTTAGCGTGGTCATTGCTGGGGGGTGCTGGGAATTGTTGTTCAACCTATGAAGGCTGCAGACTCTCCTCCCCCCTCCTCTGGATGTGTGTGTATATATCTACAATTTCTCTCTCCCTCCGTCCCTCCGTCCCTCCCTCCCCCCCCCTCTCTCTCCCCCTCTTTCTCATCTATCTACCATCTCTCTGTGTGAATCTATATCTACAATCTCTCTCTCTCTCTCTCTCTCTCTCTCTCTATATATATATATATATATATATATATATATATATATATATATATATCCTCTTTTTCATCTACCATCTCTTTCTTTTTAGATCTGTCTATCCCCCCTCTTTCTCATCTATCATCTATCCTCCCTTTCTCATCTATCGACCATCCATCCATCCAGCTAGCTAGCTAGCTATCTATCTATCCCCCTTTTCTCATCTATCTATCCCCCCTTTCTCATCTGTCTACCATCTATCTATCTATCTATCTATCTATCTATCTATCTATCTATCTATCTATCTATCTATCTATCTATCTATCTTGTTAGCTGCGAAGTCATGTCCAACCCATTGCGACCCCATAGACAATGTTCCTCCAGGCCTTCCTGTCCTCTTCTATCTATCTATCTATCTATCTATCTATCTATCTATCTAGTTGTTGTTAATTGCGAAGTCATGCCCAACCCATCGCGACCCCATAGACAACATTCCTCCAGGTCTTCCTGTCCTCTACCATCTTCTGGAGTCCATTTAAGTTCTATCTATCTATCTATCTATCTATCTATCTATCTATCTATCTGTCTGTCTGTCTGTCTGTCTGTCTGTCTGTCTATCTATCTATCTATCTATCTATCTATCTGTCAATCATCTCCCTCCCTCCCTCCCTCTCTCTCTCTCTCTCCCCTCTTTCTCATCTATCTACCATCTCTCTCTCTATATATGTATATATATATATATGCACTACCTATCTATTGATAATTTCACTATTTTTCTTGTGGAAGACACATTCAGAATGGGTGGATCCATTCATTTATGGATCCTGTTGTTCTGTAACATTAGAAAGTTGAATTTTTTTTGTGGTGGTCTTGCTTATTCTCTTCCTTCTGCACAGAAGCCAGTGGCCTATGAGACCCAAAATCTGTTTACCCTTTTATTACTTGTATCACCATCCCACTTTTTCTCTGAGCTCAGTGGAATTTAACTGGAAATCTCCCTTTTATTCTTAAAACAACCCCCCTACGGTGGGCTGGGTCAAGAGAGAGGCCTGTTTTTGATACCCATTGAGGTTCTAGGGAAGAATTGGTATGTAGTAAGTTGATATGTATTGGTTTAAGGTTGCACCCAAAAAAAAAAAAACCCCTAGCAGAAACGTGGGATCCGGTGGGAGCCCAAAACCCCGATCTCCGCCATCAGATTCCGGCATCTTATAGGTGCTACTACACTGAATCTCTGGGCTTGACCTAATGCCAAATGGGGATGTGCAATATATTCAGATTTGAAGCAGGAAACGTGCTTGGGAAGGAGCATGGGTGTGTGTTTGCTGCATTGTCGATGCGTCTCGGGCTGAGGACCGTAATCCCAAGGCATCTGGGAAGCCACCAGCTTGGGCAGGGTTCATTGAAGTCTGTACTTTGCGTTAGCTGTGCAAACTCACCGAGGCAGAGTTAGGGGTCCTAGTGAAAGGGCGAAGGGGCTTCGTAATAAGAAATATCTCGGCAGATTTGCGCGGGTTGATAGCCAAGGCTTGGATTGGGTCAGGAGCGGAAAAGGGAGGCCACCGAGCTGGGTTATGATTGCCTTATTTTTCATTTCCTTCATCCAATCACGTTTCCTTTGCTGGGTGACATCCCCGAAGTAAAGACGAAGTAAATCGGCTGCTCCCTCTTGGATTCTGTTCGTGAAACAGGCAGTTTCAGAGCCTGTACAGGTAGTCCTCAATTCAAACGGCCACAATGGAGCCCAGATGTCCATTATCACGTGAGGCACAGTTGTTAAGTGAGTTGCGCCTCATTTTACGACCTGTTTGCCACTGTTATTAAGCGACTCACCCCAGTTGTTAAGTCAGTCATGCAGTCGTTAAGCGGATCCAGCTTCCCCCATTGACTTTGCTTGTCTGGGAAGGTCACAAATGGCGATCACACATGACCCCAGGACTCTGCAACTGTCATAAGTACATGCCAGTTGCCAAGTGCCCAAATTTTGATCGCGTGACCATGGGAATGCTCTGACGGTCGTAAGTGTGAGGCCCAGTCACTGCTCACTTTTCCCAGGGTCGTCGTAACTTCAAACAGCCATTAAATGAACCGTCATAAGTCGAGGACTACCTATATACATCTTCAGAATCTTTCTTTCTTTGCCCAGACCAGGGCTAGGCAACCTCAGCTCTTTTATGACTGGTGGACTGCAACTCCCAGAATTCCTGAGCCAGCATGGGGGAACTATGGCCCCCTCATGACTTGTGGACTTCAACTCCCAGAATTCCTGAGCCAGCATGGAGGAACTGTGGCCCCCTCATGACTGGTGGACTTCAACTCCCAGAATTCCTGAGCCAGCATGGCTCAGCTGGAAACCAATCCCTTTCCCCTCAGCATGGCTGGCTCAGGAATTCTGGGAGTTGAAGTCCACTAGTCATAAAAGAACCGAGGTGGCCTACCCCTGCCCAAATGTCTGAATTTTGAGCAGTGACCGTGAGGAAAAAAATATTTAAATATTTAAACCAGGGGTCTTCAAACCTGGCCCTTTTATGACTGCTGGACTTCAACTCCCAGAATTCCTGAGCCAGCATGGGGGAACTGTGGCCCCCTCATGACTCACGGACTTCAACTCCCAGAATTCCTGAGCTATCCTGACTCAGGTTGGGAATCTCTCCCTTTCCCCTCAGAATGGCTGGCTCAGGAATTCTGGGAGCTGAAGTCCACAAGCCATAAAAGGGCCATAGTTCTCCACCCATGGCTCAGGAATTCTGGGAATTGAAGTCCACCAGTCATAAAGGGGTCATAGTTCCCTATGCTGGCTCAGGAATTCTGGGAGTTGAAGTCCACCAGTCATAAAAGAGCCAAGGTTGCCTACCCTGGCCCAGATCTACTTTCTGCAGCATCTGTGAGATGGCTTCACCCCAAATTCTAAAAGAGCCCGGTCAGATTAATGGTGGGGCTGTCTGATTTCACAGTTCCTTTTCTATTTTCTCTTTCCTTGTAACTTGTGGACGAAAAATGAATTCGTCCAATCTCCTTCCTGGGTGATAAAAGTGGTTGAAGTAAGTTTGAAACATCTCCTTCATCCCAAATGTATTTCCAGGTCTCCCTTTATATGATTCCAGTTGCAAATGTCCAAGAGGAAAAGGAAGTACTGAAGTAGTGGAGGTTTTCAAAAACATAGACCAACCAACCATTCATCTGGGATGGTATAAGGCAGGGGTCTTCAAACTTAGCAACTTTAAGACTTGTGGAATTCTGGGAGTTGAAAGCCCACAAGTCATCAAAGGGCCAAGTTTGAAGACCACCTGGCTTAAGCCAAACAAGCTTTCTTACAGTAATAGGTTAGTTTATTCACATGGTCTCCTAATCTAGAGTCTTAGTTAACCAACATCATGAGCTATTTCAATCTCTGGGAATTGAAGTCCACAAGTCTTAAAGTTGCCAAGTTTGAAGACCCCTGGTATAAGGTCTTGAGTAGGGGGTTTGACTAGAAGACCTCTTGAGGTCCCGTCCAGCCCTAGGATTCCATGTTCTACATGGAGGATCCTTTGGACAAAGGTTTTGGTCCTTTTCAAGCTAGTCATCCTGGAAAGAATTATGGATTCTCTCTGACAGTGATAAAAAAAATGTAGCCCAAACACGAAGAGAACCATACATTTAAGTATTTTATTTGCAGTATTCAAGCACAGTACAGCAAAATTGTATTATTCTATTGGGAAGTAGAAAAATAATCAGCAGATTGGTCAGCAAAACACCCAGAAAAGCAATCTTCTTTCCTAACACCATCAATAGTTCTCTAACGAACTTTGAAAGAGTCCCAGACTGTTTAAAGCAACTGTAAATTGCACCATATTTTGTGGAAGATATCTACCACAGCTCTCTGAGGGTGACGTAAGTTGGATTTTTCTGACATTCAGAGGTTCTCTATCTGAGGAGGTTTTTGGGAAGAAGTTGGTTTTCCTTCACTTTCCAGAGGGTTGGATGTGACGCTATTGAGATCC